GCGCACCTTTTCTCTATATAATAATGACATTGTCCAAGACATCCACCTGTCTAAGACAACCTTTTTTCTCCTACGCAATGACAGACCATCTTGGACAATTTCGACTATTCTATTGAAATCAAACCCAACAGGATCAGTTCACAACTCACCTTTGTTTCCAATGAGTACTCTGTTGATCTCACTGCCCTTCTCAGCTTTAAAATCTTCAAAGGCTGAAGTTCTACTTGGCGGAGTGCTAGAGATAGATGTAAGTTGAGTAAAACAACAATAAGTTAGTCAGGTCAATGTTGTATAACAAACAATAAGTGTAAAGCAATAGTTCACAACTATTTGCTCAGCCAAACAGACAGAAGTAGCCACAATATAAAGGGAAACAACATATTTTGTTACACTCATGTTTGTATATTCCTGTGCTGAATTTTAGTTTTAGTAAGAGTTCTATGGCACTTGCAACACAATAAGGTCATATAAGGGCAGAAGATAAGAAGTGTTACAAGAGAGTAACAAACACAAAAAAGGAGAAGAGATAAGGACGATAGATGTTTGATAGGAAAGAAGGAGCAAACCACTCCAGAGCACTTGCCAACCACCCGCTGTGCTGAGTGATTAATGTGAGATTTGCAGTTGTTAGGCTAGACTGACACAGTTATAGGTTATTCTGTAATACAAAACAAGATAAAAATAATGGATTGACAATCTAATAGTAATAGCAGTTGTGGAATTTATTCTTTCCAAAGTTTTTGCCTGTTGCAACACTTCTAATTATCTTCTGTTATCAAAACTGTTGCTGCCTTCATTTAGTGCTATTGTTTGTTTCTTCTGCTCTTAGTCAATATGTAGTTGTCATCAGTGTCTCAGTGCTGACAGAAGCTACAGAAAGTGCCCAAAACGAAATGTTGAAAAATAAAATACCAAACAACTGAAACATGAATGAAAACATGGTGCTGAATAGTTTTATTGTTGTTGTTTTTAAATAGAAAAAAAGACATTTAACAACAAGGAATCGTTAATTTGATCTGCTTGATAACCAGCTGTGTTCCTTTGAAGAGTAAATATCTACAACAACAGATACTCCAGGAAATTTTAATTTGATCATGTTCAATCAGGGATTTAGCAAAGATAGCTTCTTTTTCTGCGAGAGTAATTCACGGCAAATATTAAAGAATAGTTACAAAACTCTGTTTTATTTTATTTTTCAGCACTTCTGCCAGTTCACAGGAGTGGAATGCCAATAATATTTTTTCTTGGACAAACACAGTTCTAAATTTGCTTCTTATTTTTCTCCTTCATTCTTGGAGACACCTCTAATAATAAAAACAAAGAAGAACCCATCTCATACATGCCAAGCCTAAAACTAATTTTCACGGTTTTAGCCCAACACTTCTCATCTAAATCTCTTTGAAGATTGCTTTGACTGCTAGTGCCAGAGGGAGTAAGTAACCTGTGAAGTGGTCTTGTTTCCTGATTAACGCACGTGTCCTCTTACGGGTGCTGATTTTACAAATGCTAGAAAAATATTTCGATATCATTAAAAGTTCCCTCTATTGCATTGGGTCAAGATCACTTATTCTTTCAATACATTTTGATTCTGTGACACAGTGAACATTGTACAAAGCTGCTAAGAAGTTATGTGATGGGAAAATACAACTTATGTAATTGTTAAAACTGAACAACTGACTGCAGAAGTGCTTTGAGAGTTCTATATAATATAGCACATGTAGGTACTGGTACAATTTGGCTAATAACTTTAGGTTAATGATGATACCATACTGATTAAGATATTGTTAAAAATTGCTTGTTATTAAAACGGTTCCTTGACATAGTAAAATGTTTACATTTAAAAGAGGTACAAAATGTTTTTTCAAAGAACCCCTCGATGCTTAACAGTAACAGTGGATAAAATGGAAAAGTATTTCCAAAGAACATTTACTCATTGCACCTGTGCTTAATGAACACTGTATTTTCACTCACAAGGACCATCTCACTAACAGAAGTGTATATAGTAGACCTACACATCACCTGTCTTTGCTAGGAGAAGAATACCATATGTGAAAGGAAACCATTCCGTGGAAATAAAAAAGGGACACAGAGACAAAGATGAAACTTTGTGAAGAAATAAAGAGATGTATGTTTGCAAACAGTAATGCATCAAGAGTACTGTGACTTTCAAGTGACAAAAAGATTTTACTTTATTTTTCAGATCTGGAGGAAAGAACGGGAACATCACTGGAGTATAAAAAGGAAACCTAAAAGAACAATTCAGTCCTAAATAAATGAACTAAAAAATTCAAAGGCATGAAGTAAAAAAAACAACAACAAAAAAAGTCCAGGGTGCTCAAGATTGTGATGATCTGCTTTAAAAAAAGTCCAACAAGGAACTCAGAAGCAAATAATACATTGAAAACTTCATTGTTGGATTTACTCAGTCGGAGGTCCATCTGCATGTTCCTCCTCTTCCTCGGCAGGCTCCTCACCCTCCTCACCTACTCCACTGGTTTGAGTAAATGAACATTTGTTCTTAACATTATTTCGTGAAGCTATCAAAGCTGGTCTTTATTAGAGCGTGTTAGATGTCTGAAAGGTTCTAGTAAAAACAGATACTATGGACAAGATAGATTACATAATGTACAATAGCAAGAGAAAGGACAAAAGGATTTATACCAAGTTACATGTAAGTAGAAGAGAAAAATTATGGTGACCAAATCAGACAGGCAGAAGTAATCAGAATTTCACCTAAGGCTGACCATAAGACAGAAAGAGAATAAGAGGAAGAGAAGAGCAAGGTACAGTCCAAGAAAAGGGGATTAACATATCTACTAGGTTACATGTATTAAACTGTATCTAAGCATCTCGATCTAAACTAAATATAAAGCATTCACACTACAGGAGACAGTTTTTACAGAGGATAATAAACAAGAAAACCTGAAAAAGAATTAAGAAGAGAATCTACAGGTGGGGTCACACGACAAAACTGGGTTTTCAGAATGATAAAGATATTAGTTGGTTGCATTTAGTCAAAAAGTAATCCCAAACATGACAGAGTAACAGAAGAGCACATGAACTGGCAAAGTCGGAGCTCATCATCGCAAGAACAGATTCTTTCAGGATTCATACCCCCCAACAAAAAACCACATTTTAAAAACAAACAAGAGATGAACCTAAGCCAAATTATAGAAGGAAAAGGAGGAAAGCAAACAGAACACAAAACATCACAACAAAGAGATGCCTTCTCCTCATCAAAGTAAATAATCCATTCTGAGAAGGGAAATGCTCCTGTAGGTTATGCAAAGATAAAGTTTAGTAGCTGCCTAAGCAGAACAGCAAGCTGGGAGTATATGCGATATGCAATTGGACATATAAAGGGATTATTTAATCTAATTTTTTACTTTTTTTTTGGGGGGGGGGGGGTGGAGCTAATTCAATTTTCCAGGTTAAAGAAATATAGCTGTAGAATCTACCAAAGCTGAATAAAATAGTAAAGGAAGAAATGAAAAGGGAAAAATCAAAAGGAAAAACCAAAGATATACCTTTCAGCATCCTCTGCCAATCTACTGATGGGGTTAGAGGGAACAACAAGAACATAACAATAAACCCAGTGCATTGCACAGATGTTAGTCAGGCAAACATAAGACCTTTCTCTCCTTCTTACACAAAAACATGTAGATAATTTTAGCCTTCATAATATTATGTATGTTGCTGTTGAAACCAACGGACTCCTTAACTTATTCCTTTGTCTCTGTGTTTCTTTATCCCTGTCCGTCTTCTCTTTCATCACTTATTTTTCTTCTCCACCTTCCTTTTTCTTTTTCTTCTGTGAGTACATGCCAACAAATTTTAATCATTTTCCTCATGCTATGTTTTTCATTTTTGGTTGTGTTTTTTTATCCCTTGGATTGTGAATACTTTTAATCAAGAATTCAATTTAAAAAATTCTTGACACTTGTTACAAATGGAGGGTATACACAACACTCTTGCATTATGTAAGTACATGAAGGGAAATGTAGGATACAACGCTTTATACGTATAACAAAGCTACAGACAAATCCAAGGACACGTTGAAAAATAAAGCACTTAACAAGTACAAAAAAAGTCAGAGAATGAAATTCAAACTTACTAATGGAGTGCATTACCTTTCATTTATCTAAATTCTTTTCTTATGAAATTTCTAACCTATGAATTAGCTTACAGTCATCTAATGATAAAAACAAATTTTCATATAGAAGAACTGAATAGCCTTTATTAGTTGGTGAAAGACAAACTATTGTACAATACCATACCCGTCAAAATTGATTTCGTTAAACCTTTTCTAACCATTACCCTTTCACTAAATGTGAAGTATGTATCTACCTGAAGAATGCAAAAACTCTTAAGTTTCATCCGCTGACTATTCTCAGGATTTAAATCTGACTTGATTGAATTTTACAAATATTTAGGTTAGACTAAGAACTGAAGGGTAAGCATACAGTTGATTTGATTCAGGACTGAAAACAAACTATAGGGGATGACACATGATACAGCTAAACACTTTTACTGAAACACCAGTCAATTTTGGACCACAAAGGGATTTCAAAGCCCCATGTAGCAGACAGAGGTAAGTAAGGAGTACACAGCCATCTCCTTGCAACAAAGCTAGACCACAACTCCCAAGCTTATTGATATGGAACATGATATGTTCGCCAGAAAACACCAAACACACAATACATGTTTTTCCATACTTGACAACTACTGGAGGTAACTCTTCCACTGCGGGTGTTTTTTTCCTAACAGATCATAAAATATTCATTGAAATGTAAGAAGGCATTAAGAACATGCTATATTATGTCCCACAAATTATCAGTCAATTAAAATTACATTTCCTACTTTACTCTTCATGGAATCTGTAGCTTATAGCATACCAATTCCTACTAAACAATGAGACAAATAACAAGCCAAATCTTAAACATTACCTCACAATTCAGTTTTTGAAAAAAGGATGAATAATACTCTGAACTACCGAGAACAAAATGCCCCCCCCCAGTGCTCATAGATAGATAAACTTCAAAAAGTTTAATTTGACAATAAGCTTCTTTCTTCATTATAAAAGTGTTTCCCATTGTTTCTCAAACAAGAAACAAGACAGATCAGATAACACTGTTGTACGTGCCACCTTAACCGTGTTCTTGTCCATTCTGTCATCATTACAAACTGAACTGGACGGTAGGCATGTGATGCTAGGAGTTGAAGATTTCAGAATAGCATACCAGAACTGATGACTATTCCAAGAGCTGTTTCATGAAAAAAAACTGATCAAAATCAGGGAAAGAAGAACAAAAGTAGGCAACATGATCATTTCTTCATGCCATAAAGAATAATGTGTCTTTTCTTATTTATACATTTTTTAATTCATTTTTTTTAAAAATTCCCAAACCTTATAATGAAAAAAAAACCTACAAACCTGAAACATTTATCATAAAGTTTCTTCTGAACAAACCTGGGTCTCTGGACTTTCTCCGAACGAGACAGGTTCCCGGCAGAGCTGACAGGGGAAGCAGAACCTTCCAGATCTTTCTCCGGTTTGTCTGCCCTCTCGCCTCCAGGTGTTGTCGGAGACTCAATCTTGCGCTCACCCTTTGCACTGTGGGATGGGCTGGAAGCTGTTTTTCCAGCTACAGGGCTCCTGAGCACATACAGAGAGTCAAAGAGTAAAATGTATCTTATGAAGGAGAGGTGAAGTGAGGTAAGGTGAGATAAGGTGAGGCAACGTGAAGTGAGGTGAGGCGAGGTGAGGTGAGGTGACATGAGGTTTTACATTATTGATCTCCCCAAAGAGATACTCAATCTCCTAAAGAAATAACTAAAATTCCTTAAAGATAATCACATCATTAGTTTTTGGTGCGTTTTTTTTTTCTTACATACATTTCCAATTCTAAAAATTACATCTTTGACAAACACTATACAATGATTTCCTTCTTATGTTTCTTTTGACACAGTCGTGTCACTTTCACAGGATCTACTTTTGAAGACACACTTTCCAAAGAAGGATTCGTATTGCCCATTAAGCATGTATACATTGGCAAGTCAATGTCCAAGGCATTTTTTCTGAGATGCAGTGCCGTGACACTGATTATAGACTCTAACATTGCTTTTGGCACAACCATACTGACAGGGGGGGGGTAGAATTAGAAGGGGTATGGGATACTGAATACAGAGAAAAGATACAGGGGAACCTGAACCAGAGATGATTTTGAACGTTTGACAGAAAAGACGACAACTTCCCATAAAGCTGATGTGTTTGATCTGACATTTTAAAACATTTGAAGTAAAACAACTTTTTTAAAATTAATCTTTACACTTACGTGGCTCCCCGTGATCCACGCTTTCTGTCTCTCTCCCTCTCTTTCTTCTTCAGCTGGACAACAGCGGAGGAGTCGGCCTTGGATGTTTTCGGCGCCGTACCCAGTCCAAAATTTCCACCCTCCAGATCACCGACGAGGGAACCATCATCAGCAATGGGTACACCAGCCTTGAGAAGTGAAAAGGAAAGCTAGTTTGAAACATGAAACAAAATATGTTGATTATGGAAGTAACTGTAACTGAACAATTCCAAACCATAAACCGATTACTATTAACCCTATCCGTACGTCGTGTTTTACTATCGTATCCATAATACGTGGGGAACTCTGTGCCACCACTTTCCAAAGAGGAAATTTGTTCGTTTTCCTATCCATACGCTTTGCATAGCATTCTGTCAAAATGATTTTTTGAGAAATACAGAAAGTTTCGAAGAAATCTTTGTACTAAAAGCATTCTCAAATGTGAAGAATACAACCCCGGGGGTACAAAAAGACCCCAGGGAATACAGATAGGGTTAATGAGGTGAATAGAGGTGTTATTTTCTAAAACGCTACTGTTTTCTGAAACGGAAGAAAGGGTGGGAGAAATAAAAGAGAAATGTTCTCATTGTATTATCAGTACGGAGCGGAGCTCATTTAGAAAACTGAGGAAGCAGATGCTTATTTTTCTTTTTGTGAAGTTTAAAAGCCTAGCTAATTATTACTCTCATCTACTTTTTATTGTGATTTTGAGGAAAGATCATCATGAAAAAGTCACAGGCATGAGACAAAAAAACTGAAATACATATACAATTCGAATCGTAGGTCTACATTTCATAAAGAGCTTATATCTCCAGAGTATGTGCAGGTTTTCTTTTTGTCCCTTCTTTTCTTTGGGGTTCGGGAGTGGTATATATCTGTTGTCTTGTTTTTGTAAGAAATGCTGACCCTGTGTTGATAGCTCAGCATGAAAAAGTTGGTCAGATGACACAATTTAGGGGGGGGGGGGGGTTGCACCATTGTATCAGACAGGCTACTCTTGTTCGTGGGTTACATTCAATTAATGGTAAGGTGAAAGGAACCCTGTTGATGGGACCGAAAACTATTTGGACTTACACATTTAAATATCTCAGTCCCCTCTGGGCAAAGACGACAGAGAAGAGATGACGCCCCCCTCCCTCCCATTAAACAATTCAGAAAAAAGAACAAGGCCTGTATGGGGTTAATGGCTTTTTACCCTAAAAATGGGAGTAAATCCTTTTCATTTCCATTCAACTTTTTTATACTAACTGAAAAATAGCATTGAAAACATGTTGAAAATTCACACTTTGAGGACAAAGCTACTTTGAATATAAGAACTGTTTTCTATCAACCTATTGGGTGAATTCCCTACTAGAAATAAATCTGATTGGTGATCATGAGGTCAAAATGTACAATGATGGTGCATCCTGAAGTTTAAGAAATACAAAAGAGTAGGCCTATTGAAGTCCACAAAACTTAAAGCAATCATTTACTCTAAACTGACACTTGCAAGCAAAGCTTTCTTATTACATTTAACACAAAAAGTACACAAAAGAGAGACTGCATCTTTTTTTTCAGTAAGCTGAAAAATTAATCTTTTCTCTACACCAAAAAGAGAAGGGAAAAGGGATATCATGGTGCACAAACTGAAAGAAAGTAAAACTAAATTGAAAACTAATTACAAAAAAAAAAAACAACAAACAAACAAACAAAAAGAATCAAAGAACAGCGAAAAAACATGAATATTTCAGCCCATGCCTTGTCGTAAGCGATATGATTGCATTTATGATGAAAGAATCCTTATTGTCAAAATGCAGGCTAATATTCACGACATGCCAATCTCTGTTGTTTGTTTTTGTTTTGTTTTTTGTTTTGTTTTTTGGGGGGAGGGTGTTTGTTTTGTTTTGTTTTTTTGGCCAAGAAATTTGTATTAATGTGATCATACAAGTATTAAAAGCAGTGTTTAAAAACTGTGGCCCAGATGTTATGTTTACGTTTGAGATATTGTAGAATGGAAACTTAAGCGTCACAAAAGAATTGCTTTGGATAACATCTACTTCAAAAATGCAATTCTCAACCATTACTGTCAGTGTTATGGGTAATATAATGGATATATTTGGTGAATGTATTATGAACAAAAATGTGGGTTTTTTTAAAGAATAGACATGGTGCTAGACTTGGAGAAAACATGCCTAAAGCTATGTTTTCAAGCTCAAATCTCTACTAATACATAAAAATGGCATCTTTCTCTTTTGTGCGAACATATAATATATATCATACAAGAAAAATACAACTGACAAAAAAAGAAGCAAGAAAGAAAGTTGAAATCAAGTAATACACGACATTGACAGCGGGTACATCTGTACAACAAACAGAAGTAAATAATGAACAATATGATCATAAACACACACACCCAAGGAAAAAAAATCAGTGTCAAAACAAGTGTAATGAGGTACGATATGAAGCTGTGCATGGAGAAAGCAAGTCGGTAAGATCCAAACATTTGAAGAGAAAATTGATCAAACGAAGAAGCTGTACCTCACTCGCTGGGTTCTCATGGGCATCTAGCATCAAGGTTAAGTCCTGGCACCGAGACCATACACAAGTCAAATTAAATTACTCATAGTGAAAGCGACAGAGTCAAACCACATACAAGTTAAACTACTCATAGTGAAAGCGACAGAGTCAAACCACATACAAGTTAAACTACTCATAGTGAAAGCGACAGAGTCAAAAAGGCAACACAAAAGTCAAATAACTCATAGTGAAAGCGACAGAGTCAAACAAACCACGCACAAGTCAAATTACTCATAGTGAAAACGACAGAACAGGTGGAAAAAAAACTCAAGTCAGAGAACACAGAAAAAAAAACATTTCCCAAAAATGTGTTAAAAAGTTGGAGTCTTGTAAAGGTAAGCAAAAATCAGTGATTTAGTAAAAACGAAAATCGGTTAACATCTTTGCTCAACTTGACGTTCATTCTAAACTATTTTTTTTAAAATGGGGGTGGTTCAAAGTCTACAGACTATTAGGTTGTCAAAAAACCAAAGACACTGGAAACGGAGAAGTAAAGTTTTAATGAAAAGTAAATGTAAATACTTTATTGTACTAATTTGCATACTGATGCAAAGACAGTAAATCATTAAGACAAAGTCGATACAAGTACGGATATTCTTAACAGGTCTGGGTTCTACATGAGACCTTATCTTACATTACTTGTGATTGGGTAATATCTACAGATTAAGATTAAAGTGATTGGTTAATCTGGGTGAAAATCTTTCTTTCTTTATCATACGGACATATCTCACTGGGTTACTCATTTTTAATTTTGGAGAAATGGGGGATTATTTCAACTCCAACCGGGGCCATTCATTCTGATATGAGTAAGATACTCTTTGCCTTGCATTCAACTTTTTCTCAGTTCACAAAGAAGTAGAGAAATATGCAGCTTCTGAATCAAGATCTGAATGAAAACCAAAGAGTGCATGTCTTTCTACGTGTTTTCGTGGATGGTGCATATATCTATGTGCGTGTGAATGTGTTTGCCAGTCAGTACATATGTGTGTGTTGTGTGTGTGTGCATGCATAATGTACGCTTGGAAATATGTGTATACGTGTGAGTGTATATCTTTTTGTTGTGCGTGAGTGTGTGTGTGTGTATGTGTGTGAGTGTGTAAATGTGATAGACAGACAGACAGACAGACAGACAGACAGACAGACAGACAGACAGACAGACAGACAGACAGACAGACAGACAGACAGACAGATAACATCGATAGATGGATAGAGAGAGATAAAGAGACAGATAGAGAGAAAGAGGGACAGAAAAAGAGAAAGACACAGAGATAAAGAGAAAGACACAGACAGAGAGAGAAAGAAAGAGAGAGAGAGAGAGAGAGAGAGAGAGAGAGAGAGAGAGAGAGAGAGAGACAGAGACAGAGAGAGAGAGAGAGAGAGAGAGAGAGAGAGACAGACAGAGACAGAGACAGAGAGAGAGACAGAGAGAGAGACAGAGAGAGGGAGAGGGAGAGAGAGAGAGAGAGAGACAGAGAGAGAGAGAGAGAGAGAGGGAGGGAGGGTAGAATAAGTGACTGGGCGAAAGAAAAGGATGGGCCAAGGCAACTGACTGTTTATCAACAGCTGTTTGCTGTTCACATAAGACTAAGAGAGTGTGGAAGTCAGTATGCGTTTGTGAAACTGTATACTTGTGTAGGAAGGTGACAAAGAAAGAAGATCAAAGTGGGTGGGCCTACTCTGATCTTAGAAAACTTACATTAGAAACATATTATTGTCTTACAAAATAATATCGTCCCATTTTAATCACACACTATTGACCTTTAAGTGAAAGTCAATCATCATTCTTCAAGCTTAAGAAAAATAAATTTCAGTATTTTTTTTTGGACTGTCAAATCACGTAAAAAATTTTCCTCACCCCAAAACTGACTTGCTATAGAAAAGCAGAGGCCAATTTCAAAGACATCTCGGAGGAATAAATTTAATCAGTTCAGCTTCACTGTTCACAAAAATACACTGCGTACAGCGCATCGGCAGTGGAATTTTAGTTGCAGCAGGGGGTTCCCCACCGAGCGCCTTATCATGTCAGGTTCACAGGGGTCAGCCCCCTGTCGCCGATCTGATTGGGCTGACTTAATTTTTGTTACTTTTCAGCATGCTGTTTTAGGTGTATCCTTGTATTTATGGTAATTATCATTTTATGCACCCAAAGCATGCATTTCTGCTCTTGAGACTCAAAAAAGAACGACCATTGTAGTTTGTCTGGTTATTCTTCAAGTCGGCAAAGCTAAATACTAAATTTTTTTGGACAACTGTGAAGGAAAAAAAAATCATTATAAAAAAACAGCACGACAAAAACTGTCGAACTTTTGGAACATGAACAACATAACAGTGGTGCAGATACTCAGAAAAGATTATATCTGCGCATATAATAGAAAGCTGTAATTTTGCAACTTTATCCATCTGGCACACAATTCACTATGAAGTAATTCCTCCAAACACAACTTTATGTGTCCAATATAATCATGAATATTCACATATTTTCTTGAAAAGTTATAAAAATTACCCTGTAGTCTCTATATGAAGTAATACAAATCGATTTTAGTGCCAGAATACATCTATGATGCAATACACGAACAGTATCTGTTAGTGTTACACTCCAGAAATTCCTTACTTTTCTTAAAATGCTAAGCCTCGGTTTTGTAAGTTGACTGAATAACAAGGATAACTTGGATTATAAGAATAGTTTCTAGTTTTCAGTGACACTGAATCAGCACCAGACGTTTCCAGCTTTTATTTTCGTATCTGTTACCATTTGCAATAACTGACAGAGTTCTGATTTCTTTACATTCGTAAGTGTACGCACATATTTCTGACACAAAAACTAAGAATGAAGGTGCTAGCTGTAATTATTTTTATTCCATACAAGAAGTTTATCTCTATCCATGTATTTACACAGTTTTGTGTTTTAAAAAATCGCATAATATACCTTTCTTAGTTGTATGCAGGCTGCCACAGACCCATCATGATTCATGAACAAACACAGAGTAACTTTCTCTTGTTTAGTGGTAGAACAAGAGCTAACACTGAGTGTTTTTAGTTTAAAAAATACAGATGTGCAACTTTCTTCTCTTATAACTTGATAATTGCTACTTGTGCAGATTTAAGATTTCTCATGGTAAAAGACATGATATTCGTAGTCAGTTTAACAATGTTTGGGAGAGATCTGTTGTGGCGTTTTTAAATAAACAATAATTTATTCATACGTTTGTAACTAAAATAGGGCAAATTGGGTACTCTACAAACACTTGCCTAGAACAAAAACTAAGGCACAGAAATTAAGCATTTTAACGCAGAATAAATCTCAAGACATTGAGCTTTCAGTACATCAGTGTCATGGTTTTTGGTGTGGAATGGGGAAGAAGTTATAGTGTTTCAAACGTAGACAAAAATGTGAACTTCTTAACCGACACCGGAAGTGTCGCTTCAAGGCTCATTAACCCTGAGACCCCGAGCCGGGGAGCTCCGGCGGGCTACTGAGTCACGCTAACTAAAAGTAACAGAATCGGGCCAAAAGTGACGCCGTGTGTGGAATATGACTCTGATGAAATGGATTTAAGTGAATTAACCTTTTGTAGAAGAGAAATCTTTGCAGACCCACACTTATATTTCTTTTAAGATGAAATCTTTAACTTTTCATAACCAGAACACATAGTCTTTCATGTTGCAAGTATCGTACACATTACTGTGGTAAGTTAAAGATGTGTCAAGTGAAATATTTATTCTGACAACAAGCAAAATATGAGGTTTGACTACTGACTCTAAATTTATAACTCTTACAGTTTCTCTCACACACATACACACCCGCACCCAACCATAAACACAGTCACACAGATCACACTCTTACACACAAATACACACACCCACAAGCACACAAACACACATGCATACATACACAGACATGCACACAAAGTTATTTGAATACCAAACCCAAACTTCATGCGTGACCTAAAATAAATGAGAAATAACATCAAGCCCAGTCCTCAACTTTAAAAAATTATGCTTCTCACCCGTGCACTGCAAGCAAGAGTAGTCAAACATTCCACACAGAGCACAAGTTGTGTAAGCTGACAGAAAACAACAAACCCTAGAAACACCAATAATACATTTCACGTCAGTCAGATCTATTGAGAGAAATTACACAAATTCTAAGAGGTCAAGGCAAAGGTCACTAACCTGCTGGGCGGCCGCGATGGATGCTGGGTCGTTCTTGTCAATCAGCATGTACTTCTCCTTCAGCCGGGCTTCCATGTCCTTCTCCATGTCCCTGTCAAATGAGGAACAAATAAAAGGCACAAAAAAAAGATGAAATATCAATTATTTAGAGTTCATTACTAATATAAAATATTTGAGTGAGATATCCATTTTTGCACCATTTATTTACAGCTTTAATTCCCCCCCACTCCAAAAAAAACAAAACCAGCAAACAAATGAACAACAACAAACATCCCACCCACCCTCCTCCCTCCACAAAAAACAAACAAAACAAAAATTAAAAAATCAAAGAAGAACCACAACAAACATCAAAATATTCGTGATATCACTGTTCACAAGAATTAAAATTTGCGTTTAATGAGATATGTCTAATTTATAGCTTTCCTTCCCCATTTGTGACTGCCCGCTTACATTTTTGAAGAAAACAATAGAAAGAGAAGCAAAGATATTCAATGGTCTCACGTAAAAAGGACACTACCCTCTAAGCTCTTTACTCATAACATGAACATTTTTAAACTGTAATATTTTGATACAATGCTTCCCAAAGCACTCACAGATACAACTCTCTAAAGGACTCAAAAGTTCCAACAATTTGCCGTATGTTCACGATCTGAAAAAGAGAAAGAAGAAAACATCTGTTTCATCATGTGTTACAAAACATCCACAAAGCATATAAATCACTGAGCCCAGAGGTGGGAAGAGAACTAACAACAATTTTGATTAGGTACCAAAAAAAAAAGTCTTCACAGCTCCATATACATCAATATGTGGTTACGGTTTTATCATCCCTTCCGTTCAGTATGGCTATTTCTATTTATCATTCATCTGCAAGAGGTCTGAGTCAAATGAGCAGTGGGCCTAAAGACAACAGCTCTTAGAAAACGCTTGAGGCTGTTCACAGAGATAGCATTAATAGGAATACTCACATCGATTTCATCAAGACTTCCATCCAGGTAACGTTTGACTTGAGTTCGGATCTCATACTTCTGTTGCTCCGACAGAGGGTCATACCACACCATGCTACGGTTTGTCTGTGAATAACAGTTGGGGAGGGGGGGGGGGGGGGGGGAAGAGGTGTACAAAACAAAAATTAATCTTCATGAAATTCATATTCTCAATCATGTGATAGCCTCTGACAGACAGGACACATCAAAGTACTCAACTCAATGATCCAAAAAACCATTGAGCCATGGATGATCACATAATTACAGTTCTTGTAACAAAAAATCCATACAATCAAGGTGACATATCTCCCCAAGAATAGTAGACTGCATATCATTTGATGCCATTTCACAAGATACTTTTTTAGAAAACAAACAACCTGATCTTCCAAGTTCCTCACGATCCATACTTACACTTAGATTTTTAAAAATATTATGATAGTCATGAAAGAAAAAAATCATGGAGATCTCTTACCAAAGTGTCGTGCATTGCCAGCTCTGACTTCAGATGCTGAATTTCTCTCTGGAGTTTCTTCACCAACAACTGGAAAAAAGTTTTAAGAATTACAGAAATGTTTTGAGAAACAAATGAAACATCAGTAAGTTAATTAATAATGAAGGGTTCAGCAGCCTTTTCCTACCTCACCCACAATCTATTTTTCTTTTTTAGAAGAGCTGCATGAATTGTTTGATATGCATTCAGCGCATTGTTATTCTTACAGCATCAATCAAAATAGTATATTATCTTGTATTTTTATAATATAGAAATATTAAAAATGAGGAGGTAAATGGATCATCTTATCTTCACATACAACTGCTATACTTTTAAATCATTCCCACCACAACCTAACAATTTCAAAACTTTCTAAATGTCTAGAAGACAAAAATTAATCGTATTGAAATATCAGTGAAAAGAACAAAAGGAAGTTTTCCCACAACGATGCTCACCGCAGGATCATAGACTTCGTTGACGGCTGGTTCGCTGGCCACACACATCATCCTGGTGGCAAAACGCAACGTGGACACCTGACAAAAGCAACGAACAGTTACATTAATTCACTCTGCATTTACCTCAATTCTCCATTCCAGAATATTTTCTCACAAGATATTTACTGTTATAAATCGCTCAATAATGTGTACCACCAGCTCGTTTGAAGATTAATATTAATTTCTATGAGATGTTACTGATGCACTGTTTATCTCATTGCCTGTCATTAGTTGTTGATTGTGAGAATGTGTGTGGGCCTGTGTGTGAGTGTGTATAGTGTTAAATTGGAAAAATGTACATTTTCTGTCATTTGATTTGTAAGTTGTATTGAAAGATAATTTTGCACTGTGCAGTACGTCGAGTCCTCCAGGGATAAGGTTTTATATAAATTGATATATTATTATAACTATCTTTGAGTTCTAAGGCTTAGTTCTTCCTCTGGAATTTGCCAAAAAAGAAGTGTTATCAATAGTTCTGAAAAATCAATTGAGCTGAAACCCGTTATATTTTCCTAAAATACAATCACAACAGTGAACGGTAAGTGTAAAGGACTTGAGTTTTTAATCTTCATTTTCATTTCAGGTCAATATTATTCCTCGTGAAAAAATTTGAGAGGCAAGTGTAGAACAAAGATGATGAACTCCACTCTCTCACAGAACAAAGTTTACCTCATATCGGAATAAGAACATCTACTTGCTCCTAATGCCCCAGGCATAGGCCTACGAGGAGAATTTCTACTTTCTACTTGTCACACGGCTGCTAAGTATGACATCACTTGGCGATGAAGAGAGATGAACAGGCGAAAATACCTCATTTGCATTCATGCAGCTGTGTTTGTTTTAGCCATGCATTTGCCTGTTGCTTACTTATACTTATATAGGGTTATATTCTGCATTTTCTTTCATGTACATAATAATAGTAATAATGTCGATCATACATAATGTAAGAGTATTGTGTATACCTTCAGTTTGCAACCCATGTAAAGAAATTTTTTAATTGAATTTTTAATGAAAAGTATTCACAGTCCAAGGGGTTATATTTTACCCCCCAGCGAGCACAAGGCCTAAAACACAAAACAAACAAAACAAATAATTAACTCACCGTTTCTTCCAGTTGGGCTGGCTCCCCCCACATATTGGCAACCAGTAACGTGTTGCAGTTCCCTCCGATGGAGTCCTTCAGGTAGTGGGTGAGCTTGGACTGCCTGAACGGAACATGGTCACGGGTGCGAGAAGCCAGGGCTATCACAACTTGCTCCAGGAAGGACAAAGATTTGTTGATGTACATGGCCTCCTCTTTCGTTTTTCCTTCCGACTTGGAGAGACAATGAAAGATATACAGATGAAGAGGAATAATAGCACTTCTAAAAGTTCTGTTAGATTTCTTTTCCACAAAAAAGTAGTTATGAGCAATATAAACATTATCATTATAATATATAATATTCCCCTCGACAAGGTATCCTAAGTATATGTGACTGGTAGTACATTGAAAAAAAAGTCAAAAGCATACTGCTATAGAAAATTATTCTTACCATGATTGAGTTTGATTAATTGAGTAGAAGGAAGCAGAATTTTCTTGAAAAAGCAGAAATGAATAAGAAGAGACAAGGACGTCTTCTTTCTTCATATGCTGAATACAGCTTCATTTTGCAAGCTAGTTCTCTCCTATCCCCCCCCCCCCCACCCCTTACCCAGTCTGGTGGAGAATAAAAACTATTCTCATCACTTCTCCTATTTGAAAACTTCTTCATATCGTTGAGGATCACAAAGGACATCTTTGGAGAGAATGCAGACGTAGACACATTAGGCTGGAATGGCGTTTGGAGATTTGACTTTCTTTGTTCAACACATCCACATAAACGATGGGATTACTTACATCAACAATGCCTTTGAAAACTTGTAACATCTATTCCTTGTCTCCCAGTCCATTTCATTTTGTATTATGCTATTGTTCAAAACATTTCTCCATATTCAAATGAAAGCGTGCATATGTTTCAGGCCATTCTAAAGTGTTAGTTTTCCTATAATCTATTAACAACTATTCATCATAAGTCACAAGAAAAGTCATATCAACTGTACACACATGTTGATTGCATGCTAGGTCAAAATTTGAGACTTTCACCAAACCACATCCTCACCTTTGATTTGCTGAGCCTCTCAGATCCAGCAAGATCCACAAAGTTCACCTTGGACACCGTGTATTTGGCATTGGACTGAGTCCTTGATCTTGACTGAACAGAGAAAAACGGAATATCTTCATATGCTACAATTGCAAAAACTCTCTTAATTCAAAATTTCTAAATGAACCATGCACTTTATTTTGTAATTAAATTAAAACACAGTATCAAACCATTTTTTAACAAAAACAAATACTTACATATTAAACAAAATGTAAATCTGCACCTGAAATCTAGCTCTCAAGATATGCTTCCTCCTAAAAATAATTTCAAGACATGACATTATGTGTTTGTGTGCGTGTATCTATTTACTAAGCTGCAGAAAATTTCTCCTGTGGAGATAAGTAGAATGTTATCTAATCTTATCTTATCTTATATCTTAAAAGGTAACCTGTAAATTCCAGCATTACTGACTTTTTCAACATTTATCAGTGATGAAGGATACTGTTCTATGTTATGACTCACCTCAAGGTAGACTGTAAAGATACAATGGGATCTTGAGGACTGTTTGTTCAGTTGATGAGCAGCAATGGACCTGTTTGTCTCACCCTGCAACACATGATGAACAGAATTGTGCAATCTTTGTTTGCCTTGGATATACCAACAGAAAAGAGTGTATCCTTCCTTTTACATATCGACAGATGTTTACAACGTACTATCTTTGTCCAGCTTTAAAGAAACGTAGAAAAAGCTCACGTTTATTCAAACCTACATGGCTCTGAAATGATATTGTTAATCATTATATGTTATTCATTGTCTTTGAATACTTAATGTGAGCTTAATGTTTATCCATAAAATAATAATTCTTATCTTTTTGCTATTTATTATCTTCTCATCTGCCCTCTTCCCTTCTCTCGAGCACACACACATTATTCATACACAACATATTCCAGCTACACCTACTTCCCCACACCTTTTTATCTCAAAATACTCTTTCCTCTTCTCTATAATTATTCAATATTTAAAAAATAACAAATCAAAGAAGTTGAATTCCGTTTTGTTAAAAGTTAAATAATAAGTTTATGATACTAAAATGTGGCATTAAGACAAAAATCAGTTGCAGCTTTAATTGTAGCTATTCAGCAAAACAACTTAATAATTTACTAGTAACAAACTCAGCCTACCTCAAAGAGAAGATTCAAAGCTTCTTCCTCGTTCTGGGCCAAATGGCACGAGAGACCTTTGACAAATACTCCATCTTGGTTTTCTGTGACAACCATGGGATCTGGAGTAGCATAGGGGTCTTTGCTGTTGTTGTTCCAAGTTGCTTCAGGCAAAGAGCTCAGTAAATCAAACATGCCTTCATTGTAGATCTCCATGTACGACACTCTGAAGGGAAAAGAGTGACAGTACTTACAATGAGATTTCTCTGACAGTGGCAAACAATAGCTTTATTTTCACAATTTTTTCAAATCAAATAAATAATAATTGATAATTGTAAGGCCAAAAAAAATTAATAATACAAAGATAAAAGATTGAAAGGGAAAGAAGAATGTAACAAACACTTAATCATTTGCTTACTACCAATTTAACAAACACATTTCTCTTCTCTCATAGATTCAACTCATTCACTCACTCATTCTCTCACTCACTTACGTATCAAGCACCCAGTTCAGGATGTTGACAGTTCACATCGTTCTTATGTTCCAAGTCTTTACTCAAGCTTTCTTTCTATGATGTTAAAAAAATCTTCACATCTCTCTAATGGAGCATTTCCTTGGTGTTTTCTTTTAGACAATTAAAAAGTGCTATACCCCTATTTTTTGCCCTTCACCAATTATTAACTCTTTCCGGACGTATGGCCGAAATATTGGCGCGAGTCCACACCCTTTGCGGACGTTTCACCAATATATCGGCTGTGATAGGGTGCCTAAGTATTTTTTCGTTTTAACTCGGTCCGTCATTTATAATTACTTTTTATTGCTATTGAAAAACTCGGAAAGGACTTAGGAAACGAAAACATCTAGTTTCACTTTGTCAAAGCGTGGGTTTGAGGAATAATGAGTGAACTAGTTCTTGCGGTCTTGCATCAACAAAACGATGTAACGGTACTCAGTAGAAATATCATAACTCAAATAAAAATTGGAATATTGCTTTCAAATAAAAAGCTGCGCATTCAGAAATTTATGGATTATGTTCTTGGCCTGTATATGATAAGCTAGCAATGCTGATTTGCTCTCACATGTGAGGTGAAAGTTATTTTTTCAGTCAAAATTTATTTTTCCCATCACCATCACCATTTCTAACCCTTGTAATGCATACGTATGTACAAAATTAATCTTAGTTTCAACTAGGATGTATTCCTCATTCAATTTCCTTCAATTTGATGTATCATAATGTTACATTTTGGGTGATAGTTATGCTTCTATGAAGTTATTTTGTACACCACCAGCATAGCCAAATCGAGCCACAAGTTAATTATGTCTAGACCCCAAAAAAACTACGTCCGGAAAGAGTTAACAGCAATCCTTACCACCTGCAGCCAGATAAATCAATAATGCCGTGACCAAAATACTATAACAAATTGCCCTAAACGGAGGAATGAGTTACCTCTAACAAAAGTTTATGAAACTAGCAAAGGGATTTTTTGTCACTTTGCAAATGCAATCAAACCTGCTGTAACGACCACTTTTCCAAGACAATCACAAATGACCACTCCCCACTTCTCTCCTCCCGCCTTCTGCATTTTTTAGATATTACGATGACACTGTCCAAGAGGATTCACCTGTCTAGGAAGACCACTTTTCTCTTCAATGATGGGTGGTCTTCTTGGACAGATTCAATGGTATCGATTTGGAAAAACAATTTTTAACTAATCGGGGTTTTTTTTATCAGCAAAGGCTTCTATTAAAATGTTTTACACTGAAGGGTATTACCTAACAGTAATACTGTACTCCAGTCTTTCCTCAATTTGCTTGAAAAGCTGGGAAATAGCACGAGGGATGAGGCCTCTGTGGCGATAACTTTCAGTTGCTCCTGTAATGGTAAATGTCTTGCCAGCTCCTGTCTGCCCATAGCACATCAGTGTACCTGGAACAAAATGATTTTAGACACTTTTTGTCAAGCCGGACTAGGAAAAAGACAACATACTTTATTAAATTAAATGATTGCAAAGGCCCTACTGAGTATGAAAAATGGTCACATACATAAAAATCAGTTGCGCTGCAAGTTGAAGAACCAGCACTCAACTACCCCTGAGATCTCTAGCAAGGGAACACAAAGAGGAAGAAGACTGACTGCAAAGAGTAGCAAGCATATAGAGCAATTTAGAGAAGATGCTTGTAGCATACTGAGAGTGAGAGTACATTACACTCAGATAACTTTTCTTCAATATCATTGTTTCAACAAATCTTTTCCACTATGACCAGTTCTTTAAAGTACTGATTTCATTTTCATTTTCAGACAAGGATGTGCAGTCACAACCCAACCTATTAGTATCTCCTTTATGCTTTTCTGTTTCATCTGTTTTGACTTGTCTTCATTGTAAATTCTTTTTAATCCGTCTTTTTCATCTTCTATGATATCTTCAGACTTCTCTTAATCACAGTTTGATTCGAATCGAGTCGTAAGAATAGAAACCAATAAAAGTAATCATATTGTAAAGAATAACATAGCCTATAGATGGAAGATCAGTAAAACTTCAAATAACTTACCGTTATACCCATCCAGTGATCCTCTAACAATATCAGAGGCCACGGTATTGTATACTGTGTCTTGATCAGCATTGCTAAAAATTCCATCTAACTTGAAAGACCAGTCCAAAATTTGGTTATTGACTACACCTTTCTTGGGGTCTCGTCGCATGTGCACATTGACACCCTGGATAAAGAGGAAAAGAATGAATGTGATTAAAGCATAAGAAGCCAAATAAGGTTGATAATTATTTTTTTTAATATAAACTAAAACTCCCAAGTACTCCCAAGCCAAATAAGGTTGATAATTTTTTTTTTTTAATATAAACTTAAACTCCCAAGTACTAACATGGAAAGGGTTGAAAAATTTTAAAAGAAGTTTTCTGTTTCTCAAGAAGACCATAGAGTAGTGACAGGGTTCCACGTTTATCAACATCTGGCAGCATCCTTTCCTGTGGCACGAGATTCTTGGCTGGTCGCTGTGGTTGCTTAATGCACGTACACAGACTTCAATTATTTCCAGACTTGCTGATTATGTAATCTAACAGTGCATCAACCTGCAGTTGTAAGGCTGCCAATGCATTTTATAAAGATGTGTATACTTGTACTGCACACAAAGCAGTGTCTTGTGCAAGTAGCATAAGTGCTAAGCAAAGCATGGAGCCGCTCATCCTGTCTGAGGGGATGGGTGGGGGTAGGCGGGCAGTGCCGACATGGCGTCTGGTAAGGCGGGGTTTCATGTCTCAGACCTCTGCAGCGATAACGAGGTAATATTCTATTGCCTCAAAACCCACACCAGCCACCTGACACAGCCTCTGAGCCATCCACAACGTCACAAACTCGCCATCATCGACTCAAGGAAATATCGACCCCGACTACAATACGTGGTCCTGTCTGATGGACACTTTTGAACAACTGGCTCCTCTGCTCCCCCAGCCATCAGCAAGAGCCCTGGAAACTCAGAGCCCCTCCAGGCAGACGACCATGGACAAGGTGCTCACACTGCCGTGGTGTTCAATGAACAAGAGCATACTTAGAAGGCCTCAGCCACCTGTGCCACCGTCCATCAGTGGAAATGACTAGAAAGAGATGATACTCACAAAGAAGATGAAGGTGGAAGAAGAACAACAGCAGAAGGAAGAGGAGAAAGAAGCAAAGGGAGTACAGAAAGAAGGAACGGCTAGCATGAGCTGAAGACAAGTAGGAACGCCAAAAAGAGAAGAAAAAACGAAGGGAGAAGGCAAAAAAGGAGAAAGACGAGGAGAAGAGGAGAATTCAGGATAAGAAGATGAATGCTTTGGTTGTAGCCTCACAAAAGAAGAAAGAGGACGAAGATTCCTCTGACTGGGGAGAAGAGCCGGTGTATGACAACAGCTCCGACGAATGTGAGGACATTACGGTCGACTGTGCTGGGAGTGGAGCCACCACCCCAAGACAAGTAGTGCTCACTCAGTGCATGCTTTGTGACAAGTGGTAACACGCCAACTGTGTCAAACAGATGGACCTGAAGGACAAGACTCAGGAAGACCTGGATGCCGTGGACATCGTGCTCTTTTGCTGTGTTGATTAATCTCCCCATCCCAATTTGTTCCATATAAATAATGTGAACAATATCTTTAATTATTCATGTGCAATACGATTCACATGTAGATCTACTTTGCTGTTCTTATATCATTTAATTCATGATTTTCAGAGTTATCTAGACTCACTAAAGATTAATGTTTTGTAAGTGTTGGCTCCAGTTATTTGTTTTCTTTCTATTTTGGCTATGCATAAAAATTGAGCATCACTTGTAACTAACTCTGGTGTAATTTGTAAGTACATTTCCTCCTTTGTGATATAATGAAAATCATACGTTAGCCTATACGATTCATAATAAGGGCATGTTGCAAGACCCACCCTATCCTAGCAGCAGCCCCTCCATAAAACGCATCACCCTCCAGCAGGAACGTGCATACCCGCTGATTGTCACACACACCCGTCCTCACTTTGCCACACAAAAGCCACTACTGTGGGAGAAGGGTAAACGAAGCAGGAATAGCGCATTGGGCCGACGATAGCAGACAAAATTTGCTTCTCACCAGTTAATGTGGGGTTACCTCCCCTCTCACCAAGGACAGGCAAAGTGACTTTATATGCTTAGTGTAGTGCGGACTACCGCCTCTACTCTAAGACTTTTTGTGTCGCGACATGGTGGAATCAGGCGCTCGTCAATTTTTGGGCATGTGGAGTTACTAGTATCATCTTAAAGCATGTTCAGTTATCTTGCTATCAATAAAAAATAAAATACCCATTTATAAAAGTCAAGATGTTTGAGATTGAAGAAGGTGGCGTCGCCTGGTTTTGAAAGGTAGAATTAGCGAGAAAATGGCTGCCAAAGTCTGGTTATTTCCATAGCTTGATAGTCTGTGGAAACTGAAAACTTACATTAATTGTGCCTTTAATCAACGTTTTTCAGTAAAATCCAAACAGAAATGTGTTCTTAATTGAACAATAATGGCGCCAAGCCAAAAAACCGAAAATCTTTAAAAAATTGCCAAACTGGCAGAAGAATGCCAGTTTCTTCAACATTGTGATTTTGTTGAGGGCCTGCTTTCACCACGCTACCCCACATATTGACTGCTTAGTACTAGTGTAAGACTCCAGTAAAGCCATTTTGAAAAGAGACGTTTGACGGAGTTTAACACCAATCAGTTGATATGCTCAGTCTTTTAGTCATACTGGTGAGATAAGTCTTCGAGTTGAAAATGTCTCTTTTGTTGTCAGTTGAAATTTGAATCCACGGAACTGAAAAGTTACCAAAGCAGAATCTCTTATGGGATGAACTGTTGTTTAACTTTTCCTTTCTAAGATAAGATAAGATAAGATATAAGATAAGAGGCGGTGGGTGGACCAAAATTTGGGTGGGGCTTAGGTTGCTTCCAATTCTTTACCACCAATTAATAGCCAGCAATAAAAATTAAACAGTGAAGATTTTTCTGTACTCACGGTCAGCCACGGCAGTTTGAGAACCATTCAAACGAAAAGAGTTGCCTTTGTTTTCAATCTCTTAGTTCTTAGTTAAATTCTTGTTGATGGTAGGGACGAAACCGATTAACCTCCAAATTTCCTCTAATTAGTTTTTGAGTGACGAAAAAGTTCCCTTACAAGTAGTTCAACCTGATTTATAACTGTTAAATTTCAGCAGCACAAACACAAACATGCACACACAGCACTTCAAACATAATACTTCTAAGAGCTGGATTAGGCCGTGTAGTCGAGAAAGTAGAACGCACCCAACAAAGAACCAATGAGCACATAGGTATCTGTGTCAGTGAGGGAAAGTGTGTCGTAAACTTTTACCCCATTGTCAGGGCTAGGAGAGCGTGAGCCCTCGGTACACTGTTATTTTTTCCCAGTCTTCTACCTTTTTACAAGAAGAGTTTCATCAAGGATCAGGGCTGTGGGAAAAGGGCTCATCTTTGCTGAGCCCTAAAGACATTTGATTGGCTGCTGGGTTACTATGTAAGCGGTGACAACAGTGATTGGATAAGCGAGCAAGCCGCGGAGTGGATCACTCTGTGTTCATTGCGTGCGGTCAAAACGGTTTCAACTGCTTATTTCATTATGGAGAAACTTTCATTTACTTTGAGATAGAGTTGGGGGTGGTGGTTGGGGAGAGGGTAGGGGCTCAAGCCTGTGAGCCCTTCACTACCCACCGCCACTGGATAAGATAAATACTTTATTATCCCAGAGGGAATTTTTCTTGGCTGTACAGGACTGTAAAAACACATGTAAGTATACATAAAAATTTAAATTATATATTACTCTCATTAAAATTCAATATGAAAAGAGAAGTAAAACTGACAAAATGTACATTCACATCAGATGCATCATTCATCCACTTGCAGGAATTTAACTACAAGACCTTTAGAATTATAGAGATACATACTCGAAAGAACAATACACATTGATGCTTATTCGGACGATTATTCTACACTATACGGTCCAGGTAGAAAAGAGAGAAAGCTAAAGTCCTAGTAATATGCAGAGAACAGCACGTATAGAAACTTTGACCTCTACATGAAATGCTCGTCACATGCTAATGAATAAATATAACTATTGTGCCATTAATTGAATGAATATTGCTTTTGTCAAATTATCAGGCTAGTACAACAATATTGAACTTAATAAACATTATAACTTGGTTGAACGAAAGACTTTTAATAAGTGCTCAAGGAGTCTAAACTTGTTATCATTATTGTTATCACCACGCTATAATTTTTTTTGTTTTTCTGATATACTTCAATCATATTGTCCAGGCCAGAATAAGGGATAGATCAATGCAAGACTCAACTATAGCATAACTTGTGATTTATTCATTCTCCTTGCATTGGATTTGGCTGTGACCCAGAAAAACAAGCATGTATGGCTAGATTGTCGGAGATTTCCTTTTGTGCCAAAGCCCAACGCTCCTGCCCAAGTAGATTTGAATCTGGCCAGAACAGCTGCACAGACAGTAATCAATATACAAATCATGTCAAATCTAAGTAGGCCTAGATCATACAGAAATCTGGTTTTACAGGATCAACCTCTAAAGACACCTCATAATAATAATATAATAATAATAATAATAATAATAATAATAATAATAATAATAATAGTAATATAACATTTATATTAGCGTATTTCCAAAAAAGTAGCTCAATACGCTTTACATTGGAATACCCATTTTTCAAAAACATTTCTTACTATCTACTTCCTTTCTTCTCATGCAATGTATATTAATGCATAGGCCTACACATACACACACACACACACACACACACACACACACACACACGCACACACACACACACACGCACCCATGCGCGCACGCACACACACACACACACACACACACACACACACACACACACACACACACACACACACACACGCAAACTATTTTCATCCAGACATAGGAACAGAACAACTAGATCTATAATGAAAAAGGCCACCTCTATTCTCACCCGGGGTGAGAATAGTGCAGGCGAGTCTTTTGGCTATTCTCACCCGGTGCGCGTGTCAACAAATTTTGCGTTCACCCTAAACCACAGAATTTTACACTGTGATAACAGAAAAATTGTAGAATTCTGTGCTGTGAAGAAACGTTCCATTACAACTGTACTTGTAGCCTACTGAAAGCGCACAATTTTGTATGTGTGCAGTGGAGAGAGAGAGTGAGAGAGAGAAAGAGAGAGAACAAAACAAAATGGCGACCCGCGTAGTTCGGCTCGATTCGAAAAGTTAAATAGCCGTAGCATCTTTGTAGACAACCAAATTAATTTACTTTTGTGTTTTAACATCATTTTTTAACTTTGTTTTGGTCAATTTGATCGTCCACACCGATAGACAGTATTCAGAAAGAGACAGAGAGAGAGAGAAGAGGGGAGGAGTAGATGTTGCGAGAACTTCCGGGCGGGTGAGAATAGCCACTTTCAATGAAAAATAACGTTTAAAGCTTAAGGTCATAATTTACATAACGATGATATGATATGAATATAACCAGTTCACTCATATAAAGGTGGGCAGTATGAAGAGAGGGTGCAGGGATATTCTCTCTTTTTGTTGGGGAAGGGGATATGCTTGCTTTAGGAACAACTTAATCAAGATCTTAGATTAAACAAAAGTTAAAAGTCCTCTAAACTCACATATAGATAAAGTGGTACGACAAGGGAGTAACGAAGGGGAGGAGTTCCGTAACGAAGTATTAGCTTTTAGAAAGTGTGTTTACTTTTATTCCTTTGCCAGTCAGTGATGGTATCGGCATCGGCGGCCAGATCTAGAATCTAGATCTATATCTAGAAAAATCCCTAGCATTTAACTTTCTAAGGAAAGATACATTACCTTGTTGTCAGGTAACAGCTCAATATTTTCATGAGCAAAATTTGCGGTTGGCCTGAATCGGCCCCACACCCTAACTTTCTTGTTTCTGCTGCTCATTTTGTCCTCCTGAAATGTATCTTGCGACTTTGTTCAGACAACCAACACAGTAGCAGCCATTATTGTTAGCGTTGTTAGGTGCAATGCGCATGACAACTAGCGGGCAAGTTATTGCTAAGTAGAACAAAAAATAAGGACACGTATTTATCGTCCACTTGTTACCACAAAGCGTATACATGCACATTATTTAGGCTAGTTCATTGGCCATATTATTGTTTGGCGGTAACCAATGCATTTGAAAAGGGGAATAGCATCTCAAACAAAGTAGGCCCCCAAGAAGAAATAAAGTTAAAGATGACTTGGGCCCTCTGTCATGCCATAGCCTATCACCATAGCTAATGAGACCAATTCCGACAGGGAAGACAGCAGTGGAATCAGGCGCTTGTCAATTTTTTTCATATTATGGAGTTATTGGTATCATCATAAAGCTAATTATTCATTCGTCTTGCTTTTGATAAAAGAGATCCAAAATTCGAGAAATTTGTGAGTCAAGAAGGTTGGGTCGCCTGATGTCAAAGGCACACAGAATTCTACACTTAGTGTAGAATTCTGTGCAAAGGCATAAATAAGCTAAGAAAGTGGCCCCAAAGGTTTTTTTTTTAAAGAGTGCCTGGTTTTACCACGATATTATATAGCCTATGCCATGCATCTAACATAGAAATCTTCATTTCAACTTGTGGATGCGGGCAGCTCGCGGGCCTTTTGTTTCATGTCAGCATTTCTAATTCCTGAAGCTTCAAAACATGATTTTCTGCCCCTCTGTGATTGTTGCTCTCCTACTGGGTTTATCAGGAACTCACCCATATCTAGAGATTTACGTTGAAGTCCCTTGAAGACAAGTTTCTTGGTGTATTATAGCATTTATTTATTTTTTAATTAATTTTTTTTTTTTTGGTGCGCCAACACGTACCACCTTGATGGGATTTTGAAATCAGACATTCTCCTACCTAGCAATTTATAATTTATAGTTAAATCTCTTTTAGCTTAGAAAACAGGATCTTGGCATTCTTACTTTTGAAAACTTGAATTGCTGTCTAAATGGGGTTCCATACTGATACCATAAATAAATTCTCCTGAAACATTTCAAGTGGAAATTATAAGCTTCTCGGCATGGCTTTAGTATACACTGTTGAGGCACCGTCTTAGCACTCTGTACAACAGACAGCATTGTAGACTTTCAAGTTTGCCTCTATGCGAAGGTTGCAGGAGTCCCCCATATAACTTTATTCATACGCAAACATATTTCTTAATTGATGCGGACATTTGAAAACAGTGCACAAACTGCCTATTTATTTGAAGCTGTTAACTCAGCTAATTTCAAGGTCTTGAAAAATATTACCAAAACTCTCTGAAATGACACAGAGCCTTTTAAGAGAGGGGAGTAGGAGGAGGAGGAGGAGGAGGAGG